TCCCTCTAATAGGCCTTCCACTACATCTATTAAGCTCAGCGCACCTCCGGGTCATATTAGCAATACGGTCTCGTATCTCTTACATTGTAATTTTATCCCGTTCTTCTTATAGAGCCTGCTTCATCTCCTCCTCAGAATCAAACACCCTACGCCGTAAACGTTGCTTTATAATAGACCAAATCCCTTCAATTAGATTAAGATCAGGGCTCTAATTAGGGTGAGTAAGGTTTTGTATATTATGCTTCTCTTTATACTCTTACGTAAGGCCTCGTTTTCGCATACCATGGGAAGGGTCCCCATCCTCTTGTAATAGCCATAGTTTATCATCGATTTCGGCTATACTCTTAATAGTAGCAACGTAGGTAGGTAGGAGGCGCTCGACGTAGTACTTTTAAGTCATTACATTGCCTTTAACCTTGACTTCAATATCATGAGGCTTCCCCGCTTCCCATTCTTGTATACGGCGGTGGTATTCTTCTTCGTTCTCGGTTATAGGACGCCGTCGAGGCTTTGGAGGGTAAGGAGGATGCCCAGCCTTGTCTTCTTCGTCATTATAGAACTATAATTTATCTACTTTCCCCCACTAAGAGATCTAGGCTGCTATATGGAGCAGGACACCTTTGAGCGGCGGCCTCTCCTTGATATTCTCTGGCCTATCTCGTGTTCCTTGCTCCCGAAGCACTCTGCCTTGAGCCTGTGATGTAGGATTAACATGTGCCTCGTCTGTATAGACAATATGGCCAAAGAAACCAAAGAGAGGATCGTATAGATGCTTAGTACCATACGTAGCTCGTTGCTTATGGTTTTTAGCCGAAATAACCTTCTTAACAAAGGCACACAAGTATCTTCAACCTCCTTTTGTAAGCTCCTTTAACTTCCGCTACAATTAGCGCCTTTGAACAGGTAGGTTATAGTGTGCAATTTGAGCTTCGAAGGGTTGTTTCCGAACCGGATTTCGAGAGGGAGAGTAAAGCATTTTACACATCGGTTTAGTCCCTTGAGACTTCCGTCCAAGGACCGTAGACCTTTTTCGAGTCCTCATCTTTGCTAGACAACCTAGGGAGAGCCGTTGATCTCTTCATGTCCGGCCACATTTCTCTGAAATACCACACGAGGCTGAGATAGAGCGTAGGGACTTCGAGCTACCGTGTTGAGCTAATGCGTCAAAGAATTTGCATTTTCTTGTAGTCGTAGCTTCTCTACCAGTAAGAGGTTCAGGAGACGGGGTCCGCAGAGGATTAGAACGCGTTGGTGGTGCCATAATTAGGGTATAAGTTAGTTTACATCTTTGAGGTTCACGATATTCCACTTTTTGATGTTCGGGCCCGTGCGTCCAGAATTCTGACACCCACTGTTGCTCTCTTATTGCTCTAACCTTACTCACTTATCACATGACCTTGAATTTGCTTCGAACTCGCGAAATTTCTGCTTACTGAATCGGAAGCTAAAATATCTTCAATGTACAATACTTACAGCTTTCTTCTAGATAGGACCCGGCCAGTCTATGTATTCACGGTTTCCTAAAAGGTCGAGTTTAAGTAGTTAATTTACTCAACTCAACTCGACTTATTAGAGTCTCATCGTCACTGACAGCAGTGTTTCCAGTAGTGTTGTGGATATCACACGGTGACCATTTATATGGCACGGGCTAATTAACTACGCACTATTAGTATTTTTGAAGTGATCTCGTATTTAAGATGTGACACGGCCAGTATCACGAGAGTTATATCGTATATACTGTACTACTGATATATCGATATTGCCAAGCGAAAATACCGAGGTTATCGCGCGATGATCACGTGGCCGTGTCCTTACCCCTTTCCACCTGCAGAATTTCATCTTCCTCCATCCTTGTCATCATCATGAAAAGGGCCCATCACCAACCTCAATCTTCACTTCTATTTTTGATCATTGCTGCAGATGTTAGGGACTCCATCTTAAGGCCGCCTCGGCAGTCAAATTTCCGAAGTGGCGGTTTTTCGTCACTGTTCACTGTCCACTGTTTCGTTTTTCTATTGTCGTCGCCGTTTCATGATGCGCCAACAAGTTCAGAGCCAAACCGTTCTTTTCCTCACTCGTTGCACTACATCTCTAAGATATACAAGCGTTAATATATTACCACTTGCCGTTGCACGGTCGCTAGATATTCGCTCTTAACACACGTATTATTGGCCCCCTTTTCTCTACTGCACGACTCGTCACATGTATGCATCTAGGTGGCCCGCAGCCAACATTTTTGGCGTTTTCTGATGCAATAAGGAAGCAAGGAAGAAAATAATCTTCCAAAGAATGAAAAGTTGGGCCAGCAGCGATGTGTTCTTCTACTCGTGCAGCCGCTCAACTTGCCAAAAGTCCCTTTGTCGTATTTTAAAAGTCTACAAGAAGACATCCCCCCTCATTCACCTCGCAACGTACTCCACCGTTTGGTTTTCTTTCTCTTAAGGCTCAAGATGAGTTATTGTCAACCTGAATCTACGCTCTTCTCGATGTGCCATCTAAATTCAGTCATCTTAAGTCATATCCAGAGATCACTAGATACTTCAACCAACGCCGCCGCAAATGCCAATGTCACAAGTACGAGCACATCTTCGGCAACCCAGTCCCTCAACAACACCAAATTATCTGTTGGAGTAGCCCTCGGTATAGGTCTGCCTGTCTTTGCGGCACTCTGGGCTTTAGCATTCGTGGTTTGGAGCAGAAACTGGCGGGGACAAACCACGCACCGGCCGCAGGATGGTATAGAAGAGGCGGGACCGCCAACTCCTCAGAAGGATATGAGTGTCCTTTCATACCCCATGAGCACTCGGAATTCGGGATGGAGTTAGAATGGCTTCAATGAGTCTAGGCAAACAGATTTCAGACGACGGCTAAAATGTGGGTAAGTAGCTAGAGTCCTCATTGCCCATGGCTGCTATCGTCCCCACGAGGAGTGCCGCCTGATTCAACCTTGACTAACCAATCCTTAGAATCTGTTAGGTTTCCAACCCAACTTTTAAAGGTCCTTTTTGTTGGAGCAAGCCCAAGTTCGCGAATGTTGTTCTGTCTTTTCAGACAGCACTGTGAAGAGTTAAACCTCTCAGATTCGCTTCACGAGTAATGTCCCTAGGGTAGAACCCTGTCTCCCTCAGCAGGCGTGATTCGTCTATGCTCGCCAGGGTGACCATTGATGCTCGAGCTCTGCGACATGATGATTTCTCTCAGGGCGAAGACGCAATATTATCATCCGGTCAATCACAAATATTTCATATTGTACTGTACAAGAGACTCCGGGACATGATGATACTTCTTACGGCATATACAATCGTCTAGTGAGCCACGAATACCTCATATTGTGGAGTAGACTCCAGGGCATTATATTCATGGACTTGAGCATCTACGAGTTATATACTTCCAGAACGACAATACAATAGGATCGTCCGGCGAGCCACGAAAAATGGACAATTTGCACCCAGCGCAATATCTTCATATAATGCGGGACTTGGGACGATAGATTTGATCGGTGTTAAGTCTAGCTCAGTGATATTTCTAGCGGGAATTTGTGACGAATAGAATTGCTTAATGAAAATTAGGAGCCTGTTCAGGAGAATATCACGAGTTTGCTTCGATTTTCCCACTTCTTCCGGTGATACTTTTCTGGGGTGTCATTTACAAGGCTAAACAATCTCTGGATGGATTTCCGAAAGAATGGATGCTTATTTGATGGGAGTTTGAAGGGAAGTTTCGCATGGCTCTCTACTCACCTCCGATATCATCTTGGCGGCACTTCGAGAGAGTTGTCACTTGCAAGGCTAGACCGTCGTGTGCATTTCTCGACTGACAGAGAGCTGTCGGATGGGGTCTGGGGGCCGGCGGGGGTGGAGAACTCCTCAATTGGTAATCTCTACTGAGCCTCTTGTCCCAGACGATCGTCAACCTCGTCGATAAGAAGGGACGAGTCGAGGAGGTAAAGACAGCACAAGAAATCCCCATAGGTAGAATTATCGTTCTCTCATGAACAGCAGCACAAGCTAGGAAGAAGCCAGGCAGCATTCTCTTCCTTTTCAACATCCCTCTCGTTTTCTTCTTGGACATGGAGAGCGTTGAGTTTGAGGCTTGATGTTTGGCGGGAGTCGGGTTGTTTCAAACTCATCCGCGTGTAGTCAAAATGCCCAGTCAGTCATATAAAAATCATGAGATCATAAAACTGCTCAAAATTGCTCATCGAGAGAGAATAATGCTTCTCCTAGACCAATCCATTCACGCATCTTCAACACCTAACCCACCCTCCCCTCAAGTGCTACCTCAATAATCGAGCTCAACGCTTGCAACCGAGATTCCCTTACCCTCTCCCAGTATCATTTAGTCGTATATAAAATCAGGGTTAAATTTCTACATCCCACCTAAAACATCTGCACCTCGACTAAATTCATCGCGTTTTACCTTACAACCTGTAAGTTGTATTGAACCATCGAGAGAGTCTAGAAAAAAAGATAGGCTATTTTATGACAAGAGGATTAAATCACGTGTGCTTGTAAACTATGTAAAGGGTAGCTTCCAGTGGGCGTTCAAGAAGCGACTGATATCAATCAGTTGACTGAAACCCCTTCTAGCGAAGCGAGATGTGTTTCAACTAGTTGTGAGTAGAGGAAGCCACGATCTTTTACTTCTAGTTGTGATTGAAATGTTGCTACTTTCAGTAGCAGACATAAGAGTGAGTATCCAACCTATGCTGCACGAAATACTAAATGAATCTCGACGCTAGAGCCACGCCGATCTGTCAATGTAGAGAAGAAGCAGTTCTCTCACCTGCACCGCCAAGCTTTTATATCAAAGCTTGCTAATCGCAAAGAATCTCCGAGAGCAGAAGAGTTGCCCAATCAAAGTTCTAACCCCACGGAAGTTCAATGTTCTCCTTCCAACAAGCCCCCCTTCTCCCGTTCTAGCGCCCCGCCAAACCATCCATCACAAAACCCCCTTCCCCACCGCACAACCTCACAACACCAAAACCAAAACCAAAAAAAGGGCTCAACCGGGATTTGAACCCGGGGCCTGTCACATTTGAGAAACCATGCGTTGACCACATGGGGGGGTAACCCGAAGCAACAATCATACCACTAGACCATTGAGCCATCACGTGACCCGAGAATCGATCGACTCTGATTGGGTTTGAGCAGAGATTCGCTTATCTCGGGCTATCAAGAAGGAGGCGGGAAAACGTCGGCGAGACTCCGACCGCGCGAAAAAGCAAGAATTCCGTCACCCCCTTAAAAATCCTTACGAAGTTAGGACCAAAGGACTGCACACTCGTCTGCTCATGCCACACGATGCGCTCGGGTCTTAGAGTAAGACCCCACTGCTGGGAAACCGATCAGAGCACAAGGGAGGTGGCTCCGTGGCTTGGGATTCGGTGGTTGTTGCAAGCGAGTTCGACGGATACGGTTACTCACACACTGGGCCGGGTACTAGACTAGACTAGGCTATAGAGACTATGCTCCGTACGTTGTATAGTACATAGACACACAAGCCTCGCTACGGCAATTCGTCTTGTCCTTCTTGCCGCGACGTCTCTTCTCTGTCCTGGACAGCCCTCTCGCCGCTTCCTCTGCAGCTTCTTTCTCACAGTTCATGAACTAAGGTTATTATTACTCGCTTAAGTCATTTATCCCATCCACATCAACTCGGACACTCGCCGCAGCCATCCCAACTCCACAGCCTTCCCTCCCCTCCCCTTCCCCCGATTCTGGCCTTTCTCTCGTTCCCCAGATCGCCGGCGGCAACCTTGGTCCCACGTCGCGCAGCGAGGCGGAGTGGGGAGCTAGAATCCTTCGGACGGACGCGGTGTCGTGGTGGTGGTTGGTGTGGTGCGAGCCGAGATGCAGGTACGGTGTGGACCTGCATGGCATTTAAGATGAGAGCTGAGGAGGAGCTCGGGTTGCTTGAAACATTAGGGGAATGCGGGGCGGCTTGGGACGTAGGGGATATATGAATGAGATGGGATCTGTTTGGAGGAGCGGTGGGGATTTCTGGGGGCGTTGGAGATGGAGTGGAATCGCTGAGGCCGTCGCCCAACACCTTACTACTTACTAGTAGTAAATCACCTTCGTAGCTTTATTACTTGAGTAGTTTCTTATATAACCTTAATCTTCGACTCCACGACGACTCCTCCACAGCATCACCATCAACCTATACCACCCGGCTCCTTCACCCTCATCACACGAAAATCCCCACCTCTCTCAACGGAGTCCAGAACTCCCATCTCCCATCTCCCATCTCCCATCTCCCATCTCCCACCTACCTTAACTCTCGGCCGGCCGGGCGATTTGCGGCTCCTTCAGGAATGCCGGCAGCTGATCGGCCAGCTGCAAATCCTAGAGGATGCAGGGCTGAAGAATCGGTCCTCCATACAGGAGTCCACCGGATGGAAGATCAAGGTTTTCAAGGTGAGGGAGGTGTCATTTGTACCATGTGAGAGAGAGAGGAGACGGTGTGATGTACGACCGTTTGGAGGCTATTTGGAGGGCTCATGACATCTGTGTATATATAGCATGGAGCGGACGGGGAAAGGGATCATATAAGGGGCTCCATATTCGCAATTCGAGAGAGAAGGGCACTTGTCTCATCCAGCACGTACTGGCACCGGAACGATCGATCTCTAAACCTTTCCTCGGCGAGGATCCACGGCCATGATTCCAACCACAACACTCACAGCCATCCTCCTCCTCTCCTCCTCCACCCTCGCCGCACCCGGCTCCACCACCTGCAGCATCACCAGTGGACAATCCGGTCTCTGCGTCGCCACCGCGTCGTGCAAGTCCTCCGGTGGCACCTCCGAGGCCGGGCACTGTCCTGGCGGCGTCGATAATCAAGTACCCTCCCTCCCTCCCTCCCTCCCTTCCCCTCCTCTCTTTGTAAATAGGACTAACAAAACACCAAAGTGCTGCACATACGGAGCCTGCACCGTCTCCTCCACCCCGGGCCTCTGCCAAACCGCATCCTCCTGCAGCGGCACCAGCACGCCTGGCCATTGCCCAGGGGCGACGGAGATCCAGTGCTGCACGAAGAATCCGAGTCCCGGTGGGGGAGGAGGAGGAGGAGGGGATTGCGGCGCGCCGGTGGTGAACAAGGAGACGCTGGCGCTGATCGAGGGGTTTGAGGGGTGGAGTGCCAATGCTTGTAAGGAACCCCCTCTGCTTGGGGTTGTAGAAACGGGCGCGAGAAGTTGCTAACGACAGGTGAAATGACAGACCAAGATCCAGACGGACACCCGACCATTGGATATGGACATCTGTGCTCCTCGGCCTCCTGCGCCGAGATCCCGTACAGCATCCCACTATCGAGGGCCGATGGGGATAGACTCATTCAGAGCGATCTCGCCGTACGGCTCCTTTTGCCCCCGTCTTCCCCTTCTTCCCCTCGGTGACGCTAATCGCCCTCCCAGGTCGCGCGCAAATGCATCGCCTCGCAAGTCAGAGTCAAGCTCAACGCGAACCAGTTCGGCGCCCTGGTATCCTGGGCCTTCAACGTCGGTTGCGGCGCCTCGGGCTCCTCGACCCTCGTGAAACGTCTCAACGCAAACGAGACTCCGAATACTGTTGCGAGCGAGGAGCTGCCGAGGTGGAATCGGGGGAGTAATGGTGTTTTGCCGGGGTTGACGAGGAGGAGGGCGGCCGAGGTAGTCTTGTTTAAGACGGGTAGTAGTGGGGGTGGGGGGATTCCTGCTTGTTGAGAGTTGAGATCTGGATGGAGTGGCTAGTGGTGGGAGGGGAGAGGAGGGGGAAGAGAGGGTTTGTAATTTGAGAGAAGTGTACGAGTATACGGCCACTGTGCAAGATATAAGCGACAAATGTCGACTTCTGTGAAATGGTATTGCTACGAAAACTTCTTAGCTAGCAAGCCAGCCGTTGTCTTGGTCTTCGCTCCCCTATTGTACAGTACAAGATCATACATCACAATTCCCACCCTCGAACCATGATATTCTCCCCAAACCCTCCCATCCATCATCCTACACCAGCAATGCATCATTCCTAGCCCTCTCAAGGCGCATAACCCCCATCGTCCGCAGCATCATAATCCAGATTATCGCCCCCAACCGGCTCCCGCTCATTCTTCGTCCTCACGGGACTATCATCCATCGCCATCACATCATCACCCTCGTCTTGCTCGTCACGCTTGGGGCCTCCCGGCGGAGGAAGGTTCACGGGTGGTAGTGGAGTCTGGACCCAGGACATCTCGACTTTACCGGCGCCAGGGATTTCGCCGTCCGTGAGGCTGTACATGAATTTCTCGCCTACGAAGCGTTCTTTGAACGTGATGCTTGTGGAAGAGGGCGTGATATCGAGAGATGCGTATTCACCGATGCCCTGTGGTGTTGTTAGCAGTGGATCGACTGAAACTTTAGAGAGGTAAAATAGCTTACGAGAAGATACTGCCTCAAACTCTCTTCTTTACTAGAGGCAGAGAAATCCACACCCGTCAAAGCAACCTTCTTGGGTCGGTTGTCCAGCTTCTTAACTCCCGCAAAAGGAGCACCACCGCGACCTCTATAACCCCCTCTGGTGAATCCACCCCGGGGGTTGTAAGGTCGTCCTCCTCGGTACGTATCTCGCCCGCGTCCACGGCCTCGATATCCATGTGAAGATGAAGTATCATCAGTTAGCGAGGTATCGATGCCTAGCGACTGAGCCTCAGTTTCAAGAGCAGCAAGTTGTGCTTTCAGCGCATCAGTCTGTGAAACATTCTTCGTCTCGGTCGTAGGTGCCGGTGTCCCACTCTCAGATCCAGACTTCGCTGTCTTCGCAGCTAGCCTCTCCATCAGTTTTCTTTTCTCCACCGCTCTACTCTTTGCGAGCTCCTCGGAGCGCTTCTCCAGTTCCTTTCGTGCTGCCTCCATCTTGAGCTTCTTCTTGGCTTTCTCTTCATGCAGCTTCTGTGCTTCTTCTTGCTTGCGAGCGAATTCTTCTGGATCCAATAGAGGTTCGTCCGATTCTCTTGTGGGAGCAGGTGTGAAAGGTTGTGGCGTATTCGTAGCCCCGTTCTTGATAGGAATGCCATTTGCGGAAGTGGCTTGAGGGGGCGGTTGTGGAAGATTCTCCTGACTTGTGAACCAATAGACTTTCACGAATCTATTGTCAAAGATAACTTTTGGCGAGGAATAGGCTGCTTGAGCACCATTCCAATCTTCGTATTTGACAATTGATAATCGCTTGTATGGTCTCATGGAGATGTCGACAATATTGCCAAATTGGCCGAAGAATTCTTGGACGGTCGCTTCGGTAAATTTGTCTTCGGGTATGTTTTCCACAACTATGGTCGTCTTTGTTCGGTCGTGGTTCGGTCGGTCGGATGAGAACTCTGATCGTCCACCTCTCCTATTGGCATTCCCATGCGCTTGTCCACCTCTGAACGCACCATGGCCTCTTCCTCGATCACTGCCTCCTCTCACACCATTATTGACGTTCCCACCAAATCCACCACGAGCAGCAGGCTCTCCATTTCTCTCCACACCCCTCACGATACCTGCATCCGCCGGATCATACTCATCTGCCCTATTTCCAGGGGGCACAAATATTGAATTCTCGCCATGCTCAAACATGCAAGTATTTCCTCTCGCGCAGAAGCCCTTCTGATCATAGTCTCGACACCGACCCCTCCTCGGTTGCGCATGGGGCATCGGTGGTCCAGGAGGTGGTGGAATTGGTATACCCATAGTTTGCATGGCCACCATGAACGCCATAGGATCATTTGGGTCCAAAGGTGGCAACTGAGGAGGCGGTCCTTGACCTGGTGGCGGAAAACTGGGATTGTACCCTCCTCCTCCGCCTCTCCCATGACCGAAATTATCATGACCACCACGTCCACCCACACCACCCCGTCGCGGCTGCTTATACGTCCTACCATTCGCATCGCCCATCTGCATCATCCCCCCTCTATCCTGCGCATCCCCATCCCCCCTATCATTATACGTCCGTTTCCTCGATCCCCCAAACGGCGGTGCGCCCGGTCCTGGCAATGCATAATTCGGCATGCTCGAAGGACCAGTCGGCGGCGCAAAGGGAGCAGAAGATCGGGACGACAGAGGCCCAGCGCTGGGGAGGTAGGACTTGTAGTTGATGGCATCGAAAACGTCGCG